ATAGTTCATCTTGTTGGGCATAGCAGCAGTGATGAAGGGGAGTGCGAACCACAAATTCCAGGGTTTTTGTTCTCAGTGAGAAAGATGGATAGACAAATAGACAGACAGACAGACATACCCTTGTGCATGGACTTCCATGATTTGAGATACTTTATTCCATCCAAACCCAACAAACCTAGTGTCATAACGTACTATATTCTTGGGTACAACAATGTATGGCTCATAATCTTCTTCCCACTGCACCTGGAATAAGACAACACACTTATTCATTCAATTCCCTTTACTAATACACTGTTAATCCCACACTGTCATCTTCATAATTATTACACGTTTAAAACTCAATGTGGTTCATTGCTCTCACAGACACATTGTAAAAACATTTTCATACGCTGGGGCTTTCTTTTGTTTTTTTTCCTAGACCATTTATTCATCAGTATTTACAGTACACATACATACAGGGTATGGTGTGGTAGCTGTTCTCCACTTGGCATAGTTGGTTGGAGCATGTCCTTTACTCCATTCATTAGACCTGGTCATATCCAAACAATAAATATCATTAATCATTACTCAACAAATCATAGTAATTAATATGAAGAATGAGTAACTAAATACCCACCTGAATGTGAACACGGTCCCAAGGTCCCACTGAGACAACAAGTCTGACTTTGTTCGAGGAAAACTGAGTTTATAACGAAGAGTTTCGAATGCTGGAACAACATATGCCTAATACAACCAAAAGTTAGAGGAAAAATTGATTAGCAAAAACAAGTATGTTAAGCCTGCTGTGGCTTGTCAAGTCACCTAGAAGCATTGACTTAGAGTTTGAAATTATATGAAATGGTAAGTCTGTAAAGATAAGTTTGTTATTATGTCTGTTGTTGGAAAGTAATAATTTTCACTTGATATTTGACCCTTGTGTCAAAGGACTCTYGAATTACACGAAAAGCAATTGTGCCAATCACGAGTAACCATCAACCAGACAACTTACCTTCTTACCAGCATATGATGCCTTGAGCATTTGTCTGCAACATGTAATAAAATATTATTAACAAACATCAACAATTCACAGCTAACTGTCCAGTTCACAATGGTATATGACATGGTTTGCAAATACTTACCTAATATATGCGTCTAGTTCAGGCATGGGTAGAAAATCAATGTCCGAGAGAAACACAAACGGTGTTCTTGTGTTGTCAAGGGCAACATTTCGCAGGTAGTTGACTGGGTAGAATTGCTGGGGGGAATAATGAATATCAAAATTATTTCAAGCTATCATTATCGAAGATATAACATAAAATGCATACAGATCAGGGCGTGGTGGTACTTACACCTTCTTTGAAGACAATATGATAACCAACATTGGTTCTTGACTTGAGAACAGGTGAGTTGAGGGCATAGTTTAGAAACTGTTGTGCTTCACTATCAGACATGTAGAGAGCTAAACTTATTGGACCTACGATATTGTTAGGATTCAGGCATGTTACAACTAACACTAACAGGTTTTTCAAGGTATTTATAATCAAGTGTACACTTAACATTGTCGGAACCAGAGGAGATAGGCAATAGAAATCAGGTCATCCAAAGGAATTAATGGGCATAATCAAGATCTTTGAAAAGGTTTTATCAATACAAACAACACTAGATTATTATCTTAACAATCTCAATAATAAAAAGAAACACAAAAAGTAATTCCAGCTATTCTTGGATTTTGGAATCTCTTATCACCAGTATTTAACTCTGACAGCTTTGCTTGAAATGAGGTTACCTGCCCAGTTTTGACACAATGCTTCAATCATCTGTAGTCTGTCCATGGACAGCTGTGCTACAAGTGTTACATCATGATCACCAACTGCCTACATAAAACAACAATCAACATTATATTAAAACCAATTTCATTAACCATCAATAAAAATGGTGTTAAAGGGTCAAATCTTTGCGTTGTCATTTTGACCAGTAGCATTTAGATTGAAATAAGGTATGACTAAGCTCTGGCCTAAGATCATGACTCTTGATTGAGCGACCGTTATTTTAAGCCCTGAGTGAGTATGTCATATACATGAACATGACAGCCCACAAAGGAGACTCGGCAAGAACTCCTTGTGTTACAACATAAAAATTAAAGAAATATTTTACATTATTAGTGCATTCATTGGTTTACTTACTGTAGTAAAGTCATAGTTTAGATAGTAAAGATGTGTTCTGTGGATGATGAAGTGTTGTTGTTTAAATTCATAGCAAGGGYCTTCACTGTCTATGCCATTAGGTATCTGTAGTATATCAACAGTATTCAAGTATTAACCCTATTATATGTCATTACTGTATATATGAGTAGGTATGGGGTGACTGMCTAAGACAGTAGGTACCTGTAGTATATCAACAGTATTCAAGTATTAACCCTATTATATGTCATTACTGTATATATGAGTAGGTATGGGGTCACTGCCTAAGACAGTAGGTACCTGTAGTATATCAACAGTAAAGCGTGAACCCTATTATATATGTATTGTTATTGCATATTTAACAAATCATAGTCAGTTTTCTATGGGTCTGTACTGTAATCTAATTGCTCTGTGCACGTGTGAAGGATGTCGTAAGCACAAGCAGGTCTAGCCTCTAATCGACAATGGTTCTAAGCCAATCAGCGCATGAGAAATTTCCAAGTTATGGTAAAGTGAGTACGTATGGTTTACCTTGGTAACGACAGCTATCTCACTTGATGTTAGAGTACTGTTGGATTGGTCTACTGGTTGAAAATCTTCACAGTGAAAAAGCCATCTCCTACACAGAAATAATAGATTATTAACTATTTGGTCAGTTTTCAATATTCCTTCAACCTTCTTGAAATCTTGGGCTGATCTAAGTCGAGAGATGATTAATTCACAGATCATATTTACCCTAGTAATGTACCATCATGCTCAAGGGATAGGTGTATATATACCTTAGTAATGTACCATCATACTCAAGGGATAGGTGTATATATACCTTAGTAATGTACCATCATACTCAAGG